CACAATAAACACAAGTTGTTACTTTTAGTCTTCTTCATGGTTGACTCAGCGGTCAGGGGAACTTGATGATGGCATAGTAAATTAAGCTGGTCTTTCCTGGAGGCACTCTCCCGAGGACACTAGGTTGTGCTTTTGGAGCCTCAGTGTCTTGGGCTGCTGGAAAGTGGGAGACGTGGATCTCCCAAATGCTCCCCCAACGCAGTAAGAGAATACCCCTAAGTCCAACAAATCCTTGTGATTTCTACATAGCAAGATATTTAAGAAAAATTAATAACAGTTTCAGAAATAACTTCTAAAATGGAGACCAGGTCTTTCAGTTTTATTTCTGAGTAAATCCTAATTAAGTAAATTCTGAATATTAGAATGTTTTACATATAAATGTGACCTTTTAGATTAGACATACAGTGAACTCTCAAAAGATGGTAAAGTTGTCATTTATTTCTGTGGCACAAATTATTAACTAATAACCCTCCTTTAAGTCCATATTTCTCAGTGTTTCAAACTGGCTAATAGAAAGCCAGGATAAACAGAAATCAGTCATCCCTACTGTTGACTAACTAATGCTCATTAAATTATTGCTACCTCAGCGTAATAAATTATGTGTCACTGAAAGATAAGCAGTGGACTACTAACCAAAGGTTGGTAGTTCAAACCCACCAGCTGCTACTCAGAAGCCTTCTATAGGAACTGACTTGAGGGCACTTAACAACAGCAACTATATTCTGAGAAATGCACAAATGAATCTAAATATTCTCATTAGCAACATTCATTTGCTAGTAATAAATGATTTCTCCTTAAAAGTCCTTTCCATTATTCACAACATTCATCCTTATTTTCTGATTTAACAAGGCTGAATTTAAAAGTGCATTAGAAATTCTTGAGGTCTTTACTCTTAGACAGGACTTCTCAGTGATTTCCAAGACATAGCTTCTTGTTTTGGTGCTGTTCTTCATCCAGAGGCATGGGTCTAGAGTTCAACATGCCATCTAGAGTTCAAGAAGAAACATCAGAAAAACATATGGGTTATTTGTTTCAGCCATAAGGGTTGTAATGTCAAAATAATGCTAAAGTTAAAGGAACATTTTGTCTTCAAATGCTCAACTGTTGGAGAGCAGATTCTACAGCTGACTTTCAGGTAATATATATAGTAGCTGACCTTTAAAAAAAAAACTTGACCCACTAAACAGGGTATGGACAATGATTGATAAAACTTTGGACAAAACATTATTAGTCTAGAAGAAACTCCACAGAGAGACCTGTCACCATGAACAGTTAATGCACTCAGTTGCTAACTAAAAGACTGCAGATTTGAATCCACCCAGAGCACCTAGGAAGAAAGTGTGGTGATCTACTTCTAAAGAAATCAGTGTTGAAAACCCTATGGAGTAGTAGGCTAAGACCGACCACGTTCAATAGACTCTTGTAAACCCGGGTTGAAACCTGGATGGCCAGCAGTATGGCAAGACCTGGGGACTCCTGGGCCCAGAGGCAGTGAAATGGCCACAGAGGACTAGAGCGGAGAGTGAAGTGTCCAGTTGATATGAAGTGAGGGGAGATGCACAAGAACACCCATACTTGCAGATATTACCCACTTGATCTGGCTTCAATGGCTGGATGATCAGAACTCGACTAGAAGAAGAAGAAAGAGGAAAAAGAGTAATCTGATATAATCTGATGAACTTGAACTATACTTACAGATGTAGTAGCTCAAAAGAGGAAACAAAACCTTTACAGTGAGGATCATTCCCACCCTCTCAGTACACAGGGTAGACAGGGATGGGCAACTTACACATTGGCTACCCAAAAGGAAGGGGGGGCTACAAAGGCAAGAAGTAACTGGCTTACAAGCTTTCAAGAGGGAGCCTAGTTCTAGAGGGTGCAGGGGGTAGGTAGAACCTCCACTGAGTGGTTTCCAATCTATCTGGATGGGGCTGATGAAAGGAGATAAGGATAAGACTCTTGTGGTAACAATTGTGAATAACTGCTATCAGGACTGACTGTGAGGGTTGGAAATGTAAGGGTAGACATTTTGTAGCAAAAGGAGGGGAGTGGTTGACTTTGCAGTCCAGGAAGGGAGGTCCCTGGGACCATCAAGGGAGATGAGTGGAGTGTGGGACCCTACCCAGAGAAGCAGTGACACCAGAGATGGAGGCAGAGATGATGACGTGGAGAGATGGAGTGGCTGGGGACTCTAGACCCAGAGAGGGAGAGGGGCTGTGTGCTGACGACTGGGGGGTAAGAGGGTGGGGGGTGGGGTGGCAGGCTTGCAGAGTATATCCTTTGGAGAGATGGAGCAGCTGGGGACTCTGGACTTAGGGAAGGAGAGGGGCTGTGTGCTGGCGGTCGGGGGGCAGGCTTGCAGGATATACCCTTTGGTTGTTTGATGATGCATGGAGGGGACTGTAACCATGGCAATGAAACGATATATGATAGGATGAATGTAAAGCTAATGTTCTCCCATGTAAACACCACATAATTCACAATTAAAAAAATATAATTTGTTAAAAAAACAACCCTATGGAGCAGAATTCCATGCTGACACACATGAGGTCACCATGAGCTGAAACTGACTTATGAAACTGGCTTTCTGGGTTGTCATATTTTCTACATGGAAACCAATTTCTCAGTACCATATATTAGTGTGATCTTGCTCTGTCATATATAAAGTTTCCATACATACATGAGTCTGTTTCTGGGCTCACTGGTCTGTACTATGGTTCTGTCTGTTTGTATCTGGGCTAGGCCCCTCTGCCATAAATTACAGCCGCATTTTAATAAGTCTTGACATTAGAGGCAAAACCCCTATCTTAAATTTCATTTCCAGAAATTACTAGTTTTTCTGTCTGCTGTCAGTTCTGTTATGTAGTATTTTCATTATCATTTACTTCTAAGAATTTTTTATTTTTCTACTATAGTTTGTTGTGTTTTTTTTTTTTTTTTCCTATGACACAGAAGTTATTTAGTTGGTTTTAATTGTTTTGTGTTCTGGTAACCAGGTCTGCATAATATTGATTCTTTTAAAATTATATAGATTTGCTTTATGGACTAATATTTGGTCAGTATATAAATGTGCTTGGAAAGAAAATGTTTTCTCTACCTTAGTACATGTCTATGTGGGTCCATTAAATCAAGCTTTGTATTTATATTGTCCTGGTGTGGCTAATACGTCAGACTGCAAAGTAATTTGAACTGCAAGTTCGGTGATTCAAGCTCACCAGCTGCTCCTTGGAAACCCTATGCAGGGTCGCTATAGGTCGGAATCGACTCGACGGCACTTAACAACAACAAACCTGTTGCTATCAACGTTACTGGTATTATTGATGTATTCATTGCAAATGCCTCTTTTAAACAACATAAATGATTATACTAGTGGATCGTGCCATCCGGAATACTCATAAATTGACTACATCTGCAGAGAGAGATGACAGAGAAGTTCTATATCATTAGTCAGAACAAGGCCACTTGCCTACTATGCAATAGACCATCAATTGCTCATTTACAAGTTAAAGTTGAAGCTGAGAAAAATCAAAACAAATTTACAAGAGCCTAAATATGACCTTGAATATATCATATCTGAATTTAAAGACCATCTCAAGAACAGGCTTCATGCCTTGTACACGAATGACCAAAGGCCAGCTGTGGGATGACATCAACATATGTGAGGATGGCAAAAAAGTAATTGAAAAGGCTGGATAGAAATAAAATTCCAAGATGGATTTCAGAAGAGACTCTAAAACTTGGCTCCAGGATTTATGAAAGCTAAAATAAATACAAGAAATGATGAAGTACAACAGTTAAACTGAAGATTACAAACAGAGGCTCAAGAAAATAAAATATTAGAGATCGACAGAGAAAGACGAGGGATGGGGGAAGGACCTTGGGAAGCTTCTGTGCATGCGTGGAGAGGCCTGTCTGACCAACTTTCCACAAGGACTGGTGTACCACCAGGTTGTTTCTGGCAAGGCTCGTTTGGGGTCTTGGCCTGGGTTTTGTAACCACAATGGACCCAAGTTCAAAATAATGGTAACTTTGAAAGATATTACCAGGTAACTGAAGTCTATCAAAAACATCCAGAAAATTGCCAAGTCTATGAAAATGGTAGCAGCAGCAAAATATGCCTGAGCTGAGAGGGAGCTGAAGCCAGCTTGAGTGTCTGGAGTAGGATCTTGGGCTCGCTATGAGAAAGCTGGTATTACGGCGCCTGAAGGCAAAAAGAAACATCTCGTTACAGGTGTGTCCTCAGATCGAGGGCTTTGTGGTGCTACTCATTCCTCGGTTGCTAAACGGATGAAAGGCGAGGTGGTCACACAGCAGCCAGAACAAGTTCTGTTTGTTGGAATTGGTGATAAAATCAAGGGCATACTTTATAGGACTCATTCTGACCACTTTCTGGTGACAAAGAAGTGGGAAGGAGATCACCTACTTTTGGAGATGCACCTGTTATTGCCCTTGAATTGCTAAATTCTGGATGTGAATTTCATGAAGGATATATCATCTTTAGTAGATTATTTAGGTCTGCTATCTCAGGTTGTTGTTGTTAAGTACTGTGGAGTTGGTTCTGACTCATAGTGATCCTGCATAGGGTTTCCGAGGCTGTATATCTTTACAGGAGCAGAAAGCCTCATCTTTCTCCCGCGGAACAGCTGGTAGTTTTCAAACTGTCGACCTTGAGGTTAGTAGCCCAATTCGTAACCACTACGCTACCAGAGCTCCTTGTTATCTCATGTTAAGACAGATGAGAAGCCCCTATTTTCCCTTGACATCACTGCAAGGGCAGAGAGCATAAGTATCTATGATGATATTGATGCTGATGTGCTTCAAAATTACCAGGAATACAATCTGGCAAACATCATCTACTATTTAAAGGAGTCAGAATGCTTCTGAGATGACTGACAAACTGACTTTGACATTCAGCCACACCCACCAAGATGTCACTAATCACAAAAGAGTTGACTGAAATAACCTGTGGTGCTGCAACTCTGGATTAATGAAATTAAGTGTCATCCTGAAACATAAAGAATACAACATTCCTCACAACTAGACCAATAAGCAACACTATGATAAAAGGAGCAAAGATTAAAAAGTTGTGAAAGACTTCATTTTACTTGGATACAAAATCAAGGTCCATAGAAGCAACAGTTGAGAAATCATACAATGTATTTTATTGGGCAGATCTGCTGAAAAAGACTTCGCAAAAGTGTCAAAGAGCAAAGATGTCATTTTGAGGATTAAGGTGTGCCTGAACCAAGCCCTGGTTTCAATTTCCACAACCACATATGGAAATTGGATAATGAATAAGGAACAACGATGAAGACTTGATGTATTTGAGTTACGGTGTTTAAAAAGAATATTGAATATATCATGAACTTCCAGAAGAATGAACAAACATGTCTTGAAGAAATACAGCCAGAATGTTCCCTGTAAGTGAGGATGGCTAGACTTCTCATGTTCTTTGGTCACATTAAGAGAAGGGACCAGTCCCTGGAGAAAGGACATCATGCCGTAAGGGAAGACCCTCATAAAAATGGACTGACAACAGTGGCCGCAACAATGGGCTGAAACTTAGCAAGTGATTGTGAATCTGACGCAGGATCAGACAGTGCTTCATTCTATTGTCGCTATGAGTCAGAGCCAACTCAGTGGCATGTAACAGCAACCCCCACCTACCAGTGAGAATGGTGTGCTAACATTTACAACAGAGCTAGAACATTTATGTACCACAAAATAATCTGTCATTTAGTAAAGTAAGTTTTATGTTATATAGCTGGAAGTCAAAAAGTATTGCTATAAAATCATAGCAACATTACTGAACAAAAATATTAAAATGTAAAACTGGTGCTTGATATATCCTCCATTTAGGTCTATACAGTTCTGAAAGTGTCATTTCCATCTCTCTAACCCTTCTCTGAAGAATTCTGAGCTCTTTAATTTATATACCACATCACAATGGCAGCAAGATAAGAGCTTATAGGGTTCATGGGATCTGGTTTCCCAACAAAATTTCCATAGGACAGGAAGTCACAACATTCAGGCCTTTTTCTCACCAATTCAGTTTCAAATTTTCTTAAGATTTAGTCTTACTTAATAAGCCCCTGTGATCATCCATCCCTGTGTCCTTTGAGAAAATGCACCAAGAATTACCCCTTTGGAAAGAGGGAAAGAAAGAAGAAAAAGAAAACTGATTGTTGTTGTTTTGATGCTGATGTGACATTGTAAGATAAGCACTGGACTGCTAAAACTGGCAGTTCAAACCCACCCAGCCACTGCTCAGAAACTCTATACACAGGGGCATCATGAGTTGCAACAACATTCTAAGGAACGGAGTTCTGGTGTGGTGCCATAGGATAAGCACTGGACTAACTCCAAGGTTGGCGATTCATACCTATCAGCCGCTCCTCAGAAACTCTCTACAGGGTTGCTATGACTCGGAACTGCCTGGATGGCATACATCACCACCAACATACTAAGAGACAGGAGTCCTGGGGGGTACAAGAAGCCTTCTTGTTTCCTCCCAATCACTAGCTCCTCTTTCCAATATTCTAACTTCTTTGGTGATTTAGGAGTAACAAATCTTGAATATCCTTTGCAGATTATAAGCAGTAAATATCTTCTCCTATTCTATGGCTTGTGTTTGTAATTTCTTAATGTTAATCTTTTGATGAACAGATGTTCTTAATTTTAACGTAAGCAATTAATTCATATTTCTATGGTTAGTGCTTTTTGGATCCTTTCCATAACTCTTTGTTGAGTCAGTTCCAACTCATAGCGAGCCAGTGTAGGGTTTCTGAAGAGCAGGTGGTGAGCTTGAACCGCTGACTTTGCAGTTAACAGTCCAGTGCTTATCCTATAGCACCACACCAGGACTCTATAACTATGTTGTTATTGTTAAGTGCTGTCGAGTTGATTCTGATCTATAGTGACCTAACTGACTCCTTTGAACACTGCAAGGTTTCCAAAGAGCAGCTGGAGGGTTTGAACCACTAAGCTTGAGGTCAGTAATCCAGTGCTATCCTATAGCACCATACCAGTACTCCCTATAAAAGAATATACATTCTTTAATCATTTATATATTTTCTTTACTTATTATGTATATTTTGATAGCTTTTTAAAAGACAGAAAGAAATGGTAGATATATACCAAGGTGCTTCAACAAGTCTGCGGGAAAATAAAATGAAAAGATAATGGAATGGTTCTGTGGGTTTTTTGAAGCCCTTGTGTTTTCTTCCAGATTTACTACTTGAATAAAATAAAGCTAATTCAGACTACAGAAAAATCAATATGCCCACATATAAATAATTTTAAGAGATTTTTATGTTTTCTGAATTTTTCAAGATAATCATCTCATTGTTATTAGTTATCAAGAAGATTTCCCTTATAGTAAACTTCCATTTACCTTGAATCCAAATAATCAGAAAGATAAGTTAATATATGATATAGTATTATATTGTGATAATGTTCAAAATGAAACAACCAAGGAATTGCAAAGATTATATTTGAAGACTGGTAATTTATGGTAACTAGGATTAACTCTTGGAGTCCTGGTGTGATGCTGTGGTTGATGCGCTGGACTGCAAAGTTAGTCTGAACTGCAAGGTCAGCTGTTTAAGCTCACCAGCTGCTCCTTGGAAACCCTATACAGGGTTGCTATGGGTCAGGATCGACATTTAGCACTTAACAACAACAAAGATGGATAACTCTTAGTTAAAATAAATAGAACATTTCCACTCTCCAATCAATCTGTGAAAATGTGGATTTACTCTAGTGAGGAGATACTCGTATTCAGCCTCATAATTTGAGCTTAGATCCATCTGTACTAATTATACATATTTTTGTCTCCTTTCTAACTGCCCAAGAAGCCTTCACTTCGATGTAGACGATCATTGGTGACTATTTTGGATAAGTATATAATTTATCAATTTAATTTGTATGCGATTACTTGTATGAAACTGTAGCTCTGAAGGAGAATTTACTAATTAACACTTTTCCTAACACCAAGCATACTGCAAATATACAAATGTTTGTGAACAAATTGCCTGGCAAAAATCTACCTTAAAGAGAGATCTACCACCACCAAGACAGGAGAGACAGGAGTGGAGTCATCCTTTGGACCTGGGTCCCTATACTGTGAAGCTCCTAGATCTCAGGGAAAATTGATCCCAAGGTATATGGAGGGTCTCCAAGGGATACTGGACCTACAGATGCTGAAAGGAGACGAGGACCTTTCCCCAGAACACACAAAGAGAAAATCTGCCCTAAGAGCCAGCACTCTCAATTTGGACTTCTAGCTTCCTAAACTCACTCAATGATGAAGATCAAAGCCTTCAAAATTGATTATACCTCATTGTAAAAGAAAAAAAAGACTTACAAATATACCGATAAGCAACATTATGAAAAGACTGAAGTGATAAAGGATTTCATTTTACTTGGATACACAATCAATTCCTATGGATGCAGGCAAGAAGTCAAAATGATATGTTACATTAGGAAAATCTGCTGCAAAAGACCTCTTTAAAGTGTTATAAAAAAGCCAAGATGTCACTTTGAGGACTAAGGTATGACTGACCCAAGCCATGGTTTTTTTTTTTTTTACAAACATCTCATATGATATGAAAGCTGGACAGTGAGTAAGGAAGACTTGAGAAAATTAATGCATTTGAAGTACAGTGTTGGCAAAAATACTGAATACCATGGACAGCCAGTAAAACATTGTCTCATGTACCTTGGACATGCTATCAGGAGGAACCACCAATCCCTGGAGAAGGTCCATATGCTTGTTGTTTTTGTTAAGTGCCGTGGAATCGATCCAACCCTAGTGACCCTGTATAGGGTTTCTGAGGAACAGCTGGTGAGCTTGAACCGCAGACCTTGCAGTTCAAACAGCTTTGCAGTCTGGCGCATTAACCCACAGCACCATACCAGGGCATCATGCTTAGGTAAGTAAAATTTTTTTTTAAAAGTAAGTTCCTCAGTGAGATGGATTTACATAGTGACTTCAACAAAGGTCTCAAACAGCAAGGACTGGGAAGACGACACAGGACTTGGCATTGTTTTGCTCTATTGTACTTATAGATAGATGGGGTCCTATGAGATGGAACTGATCAATGGCACCTAAAATAATAATATACTACACATTTTATAGCTGGATCATGCCAATCTACTTGTGATAGAAACCAGACTAGGAAAAAATAAATAAAAGAAAGCATCGTCATTTCCAGTCAATATGAATGTAGCTGAATGATTGAGGTCAATGCCTAAGACTGAATAAATAACTAGAAACTATTTTTAACCACAGACTACCATCGAAACTATGAATACTCTCAGTAATAAGGGTAATTAGCAATTTGGGGGTAGCATAATAGCCTATAATTTTTATGCAAGTGCTGTTGACTTTCAGTAAGTGCTTTAGTTCTCAGGTTCCGGTTTCATTATTTCTTAGGAGAAAAATTGTTGAGGAAAAAATAAACCTGTTACAGATGAATACTGTTTTCTAAGAGATAAAAAACCAAAAAGTCCATAGAAAATTTAAAAACAAAACAATCTAACAGGTGTCTGCCCACATCTACTGGGTTGGGTGCCTGATTTTGCAAAATCAAATCAAGAAAACCTCACTCTTGCTAACATGAGTACAGAATGGATTACTTGAGCATTTGCCAGTATTGACAAAAATTTCTAAAAAATTTGGGGATTTTGTCTGGGATTTTCTGCCCACATGGAGCGGCAGCCCTGGTGGAAAGGGAGATGCATACCATCCTCTTGGTTTTCAGCAGCCTACTCCACAAGGGTGATCCCTCCTAGCGAGAGCCCAGAAAAAAACTTGAGACTGTTAAAAGATGATTAGAATTAGCAAGAGGGATGTGAAGGGCTGAGAACAGAGTAACCGTGGTGACCAGGCAATTTGTGCACAGGCCAGGGTGGGAAAATTGGACTTTAAGTATTGCCTTGGTGATCAGGTATTTTGGGGGGTCAGTGTGAGACTGAAATGCATTTTGGATGCAAAGCGAGTGT